AAATGTTTAAGAAGTATGTAGAACTGGGAATATTCTGCTGTTTGTCATTTTATTTTGTATGTTTTTCTTTTTGTCTTCATTGCACTGTAAATGTGAAGCAGTCAAGCATCCGTCCTGAATTATGTCTGGGAAATTTTGTATTATTGTAAGCTACAATATATAATATGCATTCTTCTACAATATCTTTAATGTGCATAATAATTTGCTTAGGTTTCCCCCAGCATGTCATAGCCTCCATGTCTGATCAGGATGCCAAACCCTCGTTCAGCATGTCGTGAGTACAGTTTAAATCTGATGTTCTTGCGCTCACCAACGCTGCATTTAATCAAAAATACAGCAAAAATGTAATTATGAAATATTATAACAATTTAAAATAACTGTTTTCATATAATGTAATACAATATAATGGCAAAGCTGAATTTTCAACAGCCTTTATGTCACATGACCCTTCAGAAATCATTCTAATATTCTGATTTGGTGCTCAAGAAAGAATTCTTATGGTTATCAACGTTAAAAACTGTTGTTCTGCTTTATATTTCTGTGGAAACCATGATATGTTTTTTTTCAGAATTTTATTGTTGAATAGAATTTAAAAAAAAAGAAAAAAAAAACATTAATTTGAAATAGAAATGTTTTGTAACCTCAAATATCTTTACTGTCGCTTTTGAACAATTTAATGCATCCTTACTGAATTAAAGTATTCATTAAAAAAAAAAAATCTTACTGACCCCAAACTTTTGAATGGTATCTTTAATGTATAGTTATATTATTTATAATTTGAAATAATATTCATTATAGTTCATTTTCTAATATATTTTAGGCACCTGGACAGCGCTGGTGAACCAGAACTCACTCTTGGCGGCTACTACTGCCCACAGTGCAGAGCCAAATACACTGAGCTGCCAGTGGAGTGTAAAGTGTGTGGTATGTTCTCAGCATGTCCCTGTTCTTCAATCTGTACACTCATTTTCCGAGAGCATCGATGTGTTCAGTTCTCACAGTCTGCGTCTTCTCTCTGCTACAGGTCTGACTTTAGTTTCCGCTCCTCACTTGGCCCGTTCCTTCCATCACCTCTTCCCCCTTGAGGCCTTCCAGGAGACCCCACTGGAGTCGTATGAGGGCGAGAGGTGAGCTCCACACTCACTCTGTGAAAACCCCTCTGTCTCATTACAGCCTATTTCATAGCATTAATCTGTCTTTTCAGGTTCTGTGAAGCTTGCCAAGGAGAGTTGAAAGACAAAAGTGTAGGTTGTCCAATTTAAATTTTTTTGCATGGGAACATTAAAGGAACACTCCACTATTTTTGAAAATAGGCTCATTT